TGCTCAGGGACTCTGGCACCACGAAATGATTTATTTCATGGTATTTTGCGTCTTGTATGGCAACTTGCAGCTATAAATTAATCAGGATGCTGTGGTACTGTCAGGGGCCAGCATGCCGAGCACATGACAACAAGGGGTTCCAGTCTCTGTCGAGCACACTTTCTGCTTGCAACTCATTTTGGCTTCTTCGGGGTCTTGGGGAAGATCCCGAAATGAAAACCCCCCAACTGACCAAAAAAAGATTGACGCAAAATAAGCCCAAACCCAGGAGGGTCAGTTGATTTCTTCCTTTCAAGCACCAGTCGTTTACCCCCTGAGTTTGGTGGATGAATCCTTGGGGAAGCGAGCAGTTCCCAAACAGGATCCTGTTTCCCTTCGGAGCCCAGCGGAGTTCATGACTGGTGCCTGGAAATCAGCAAGTTGCTCGGGTGGCATGGCCATCCCCACAAAAAAAAAAGAGACAGGGGCCCGAACCTGATTTTCTGCTGAGACGTGGCAGTTACGCCGCGTAGAATTTCTTTGCGTTACGCTGCCTGAGATATTGCCGTTACGCCGCAACTGCTTTCTACGCGGCGTAGCTGCAAGTCCTACTGCTGTTTTGTGGTCCCAGCCAGACAATAGAGAGAACCCTCTCTTTCTCTCTCGCACACAACAGGTCCGGGGATGGAATTGTTTGACCCCAAAAGGTGCGAATTTCTCTGGCCTCCCTGCTTCCCTTTCGAGCCACCTCACGTCTGTTCGCCCCTGAAAGCCACGCATGCGCCCGGTGCTCAAGGGCTGAATGAATGCGTCCACACGTGAACTCCCGGTATGAGACCGTCCTTTACGGATTAATTGACTGACCGTGTTGGGCCTAATTCTGGAAACTCATCCCCGCAAGGGTCCAAACTGGCCATGGGTTCACACATGGGTGTTTCGTTTTCGGCCCAAAGTTGTGCGTCTCCTTTCGGCTTCTTTTTGAAGAACCACCAAACAGGGTACCCGCAAAACATGCCACCCCCTATGTGACCTTTTCAATCAGCCTCCGAGGCGGAAACCGAAAAAAACGCGCGCCTGGGCTCCTGCGCATGCGATCGTAGCGATCATCCTGGCGCGCGCGCGCGGTCTCTCTTGGGCATTGGGCCCGTGGTCTTTTGTGGACCTTCCAAGGGAAAGCCATGCACATCCACTATAGAATAGGGATGTATAAATGGGTACTGGGCGAAATCCGTTCGCACCACGAAGTGAAACCATAGTTGAAACCCTTGTTTGTTGGTATCCGCAGGGGAATCAGCGAATGGATTTCATCCACACACAGTATGGAAGCCATCTCTCTCTATTCCCTTTCTCTCTGTCCTGCCCGTGGTGTCGGCTAAGTGCTTTGAACTGTGCCCACATTTGGAGTTGCGCCTGTCTGTTCTACCTGTTTCCGCTTGTCTAATACTTTCTTTTCTGGCTCCTCCTCCTCCTCTCCCCCCCTCCTCTCCCTCCCGTCCCTCCCCTCCGTCCCTCCCGTCCCTCCCGTCCCTCCTTCCTCTCCCTCCTCTCCCTCCTCTCCCTCCTCCTCTCCTCCTCTCCCTCCTCTCCCTCCTCTCCCTCCTCTCCCTCCTCTCTCTCCTCCTCTCCCTCCTCTCCCTCCTCTCACTCTCCCTCCTCTCCCTCCTCTCCCTCCTCTCCCTCCTCTCCCTCTCTCCCTCCTCTCTTCCTCTCCCCTCTCTCCCTCTCTCCCCTTCCTCCTCCTCTCCCCTCTCCCTCCTCTTCTCCTCCTCTCCCTCCCCTCCTCTCCCTCTCTCCCTCCTCTCCTCTCCCTCCTCTCCTCCTCTCCCTCCTCTCCCTCCTCTCCCTCCTCTCCCTCCTCTCCCTCCTCTCCCTCCTCTCCCTCCTCTCCCTCCTCTCCCTCCTCTCCCTCCCTCCTGCCTGCCTGCCTGCCTGCCTTCCTTCCTTCCTTCCATCCATCCATCCATCCATCCATCCTTCCTTCCTTCCTTCCTTTTATTTTTGCCTTTGTTTTCTTTTGTTTATTCAGTCTTTCAGTCTTCTTGTCTTTGCTATCCTCTTTTCTGCTCTTTCCACTTGGTTTCCCTGTAAGCCTTATAAGCGGTACCCACGAGAACGCGATTCCCCCCCTTTTGAGCACATCAAAACAAATTTCAGGCATGCCTGATTTCTGGGAGCGGAGTGTCATCAAGTTTCGGCCGGATTTCCAAGTTCCAGAACTCCGGACATCCACGCGAAGCGGATCGAGCCCACCCGGCTCGAGAGAAACGCGGGCCGAAAACATAGGTACCCCAAAATGGGTTGTCGCAAATCTGCGGTCCACATCCTGATGGTTTCAGTTTGACCCATACCTTGCGACCTTCGCGCCTCCGGAGAAAAGGCAGGACCTGCACGGCTCACTCATCACACACCGCCCAGTCCGGTTGGGAGGCCCAAACTTGTGACAGCGCAGGGAACCCCTGTTCCTTTCAGGTATTTTGAGGACAAAGCCACACGCAAAAATGTTCGCGGTTTCTGAAAGGCGCACTTGTGTTTAGTGTTTGGACAATTTTGAACCGGCATCGACCCCAAACAGCAATTGCGAAGAATCAGATTGTTTGAAATGGACCTCTGATTGCACAACCGGAGACCATTCGTCGAGTCCAGTTAGACAAACCGGCCCACAGAAGGCAGAAAGTGGGACTAGCGGAGGCGTGCGTCAAAGCCTCCTTTGGAAAAAGGCAAGGGCGGACCAACACAAATGTTATGAGTCCAAAAGCAGCTTTACTTGCACACAACGAACCCCGCGCTTTTTGTCAAGAACCGGAACGGGTTTGCTTCAGCGCTCATTGATTGGTTGGGCTGCTTCTTTCTTTCTGAACAACTAATGGTCCAACAGAGGCGAGCATAAGAGCCACGGGCAGCGGTCAAGTTGTCATGGCTCCCTTAATCGAAATCCTGACATTGCCAAATGACGACCATCCGAGTAGCAAAATGGCCCGGCCAGAATCCATGCAAGGAAATGAAAAGGCGGCTCTCCGCACCTGACTCGACCCGGGGCCCAACGACCATCTTGCCACTCCCAGCCTCTGTCTGGGTACCCCCCAAATCCACGGCCTGCCCGAAGCTAGCGGGCACGAAAAACGGGGGGGTGTTGCAACACCCATGCACGTAAAATTCGGGTCCCCCCCCCCCCCGGTGCCATGGACATCTAGAGTTGTTGCAGCCAAGAACCCGAAAAAAAAAGAAGGAACAAGAACGAAATGAAGGAGGTTGCAACATGGACCCTACGTGTCCATCATACGCTTCCCCCCTTGGTTTCAGCTGGTTTGAAGGGCACCATGCCCTGCACACCCCTTCTTTGTCTTTTGGTCAAAGCTGTTGCCCCATGGTGACCGGTCGCTTTCCTCGCGTCCCCTTATCCGCTCTTGGGGGGCAAGTCATTTGGCCAAGGCAGCGTGAACAGGACAACCCGCGAAAAAAGGGCGGGGGACAAGCAAACACAAAGTGGGAACAACAAATGCAAGGCGCCAACCTAAAGCCAAAGAGCAACAGGCCTGGGGCTTTCCGGTGAAAACTCCCAAGATGCGGATCGTGGGCGTTGGAATACTCCTAACAGTTTGGTTCATGGTCATCCCGTGGATGGACCAAATCCACTTTGCACCAGATGGATAAACCAGCTACCAGGCGTGAAGTGGATTTGGTCTATCCGTTGCTGCCAAGTGAGAGGGGGCTTTGACCACGGACATATGTTCTAGGGGTACCTTCCCCACGCTTTCCAGGGATCCTTCTTTCTATAAAACCTCCGGAACCCAGGGAAAACGGATCCGGTTTTTGGAAAGAAAATTGAAAAGAATGGGGGAATCCAACCCTAGATATGTAGACGCAGCACTGCGCCTGGGTCATCGCGCATGTGGCCAGGAGCCCGGTCGTAAGCATCATCATAGCCTGCAGCGGACATCCATTGGAATCCGCAGGAAAGGTCCTGAGCTTCTCTCAGAAGAGTCTGTAGAGACTTTCTTCCGGAATTGGGGGGGGGAATGTCTCTATCACACTGATCCTGGCAAGCTGGATTTTCCAAAAGGTTCAATCAAATGCTTGCCACGGAGCTAAATCGTGGTTTGAATCTGCCTTCCCTTTCGAGGTGGTTTGGGGATAGCGAACACGGTCTTAGGCATGCTGCTTGTTCCAAAGGACGCTTCAGGGTCGTCCTGTTCGAAGGAAAACGAGAGGTTCTCTTTGATTCCAAATCCCCCCCCCCCCCCCGCCCTCCCCATCCCAGCCCATGGATTTTCACCCCCAATGGACAACCCGGCCCTGGAGCGACAGACTCGTCCCACAACGTGCAAAAGCCACTGTGGTGACTTGCTTTGAGCTTGGCACAAAAGAACGCGTGTGCAACGGGGTTTTATAAGATCCTAATGTGTCCGTGTGTGGAAAAAAACTAAAAAGAACAACATACTCACACAAAAAATGGTATGCAACACACAAGTGTTGTAAAGGTGAGGCGCTTCTCCCCAGAACCTGCGGATGGATTTGTATATGACCTCTTGCTCGCCTGGATCAGGATATCCGGCGTCATAGCCACCATACCTGAGCGATCGGCTCTGTGGGTGGGGCTCCACAGAGTTCCTCGGAGATGTCTTTGCTTGCTTGGACTGTCCCACGAAGTGGTCAACGCATGTTCCCGGAATGCCGCGAATAAACGAACAAATTCTCATGCAACAGATTCTCCAGGTTTCGCTTGCTCCCAATGTTCAGGGAAACCATACATTTGGTTGACAAGGCCCTGAAGTGGGACTCCGTTGTCCGGGTCGCCGGGTCTGTCTAGAAAGAAAAACTCCCTTCCTGAGTGGATGGCCCGGAAAAAAGTCCGAACTTTTTGTTTATACCACGAAAAAGGTCATTTCAAACAGCTTAAAATCAGTGAGAAAAGAACATGAGACCAGTTCTTTGTTACCAACCCTCTTCGGTCTTGACCATGCATGGGCATTTGGAGGCAGTCCCCGCCCGCTGTTACATGGGGCCCCTTCTTGTTCTTTACCCACCTGTGTCTTTTGGACCCTAAACCAAAAGGTCAGCTTGAAGTCATGTGCCAGGTTTCACAGTGTTGGGGGCCCTATGTTGGCCCAAAACTGTTTTTTTCCTTCGCGCCCAGTCGAAGGGCTTTCATCAGTGTCAGCGCCAGGCAATGCTCAGCCCGGGGCGGGTCGGCGCCCGGCGACGGTGGGATCTGAATTTGGGGACCTGCGAGACTCCGCCCGAGGCCTTCGATTCCGCGGCCCACCTCGGACCCCCCAAAAGGCAGGAGAAGTGACGCTCGAACTCACCTCCAACAGTTGACTCGGTTGCTTTCTGCTCCCCTGCTAAAATTTAAACTTTTAGTGGTTTCATGGAAAAAACCCACTAGTTGGCAAAAAAGTTAAAGTCCCAACATCCAAGCAAAATGCATCTCCAACAGGTGGGTTCTGCCCCTCGGACCTTGGTCCCAGACCAAACCTTTTGAAGGCTCCGTTTCGGAAAACGTGGGTTCTCTTTCATGGGGCTTCCTTTCAGCTGGCATTCTTTCGGGTGACCAAACGCGGCCGCGAGCAAATGGGCCTCGCCTCGATTCCAATCCAAGGCATCCGGCGGTCCCTCGGATCAAATCCAAGGCGTGAGCCGAATCCCATTCAAGTGACGTAACCTCTAGCTCCTGGACACCAGCGCAGATCACAATCAAAACCCTCGGTATTTCACGGGGAGCAGATCAAGCGGCCGGATTTCCGCATATTTTCTTGCACTCTTCTACGCAGGTTTGTTTGATGCAACATTGCGTGCCAAAGCGGTGGTCTGGACAATTCATGTGTGTTTTTGTGTGTCTGAGTGTCTGTGTTGCGTTTGTACCCCCTTTAAGGTGGGTTGAAGGGAAAACTAAGAGGAACACCACCATTGGGGGTCCCTTTTTTTTGACATGCACAGAAAAAGAAAAGAAACAATACCCATCCCCTTTTGGTCGGAGCTTCAAGCCCCAAAAGTTTCCGTAAAAAAACGGCTAACCTTGCGATTTACTGGTGGTTTCCATTGAAACTGCCACCTTTGGGAGGTCAAAACGGCGGCCAAAAGGTGCAACAAAGCTCAGCTGCTCAGCCCGGCGCGCGGTGGGCCCTTCTGTCGGCCTCAAACGTGGGTGGTGGGTTCTTCAAAATGAAGGTTTCCCTATGTCGTGCCAAACGGATCCGACCCACCAACCATTTTTTACCGGTGATGGAAAAAAAGGAAGGAAAACCCAAAGGGCAAACAGGTGAGTTAAGTCGCGCAGGGTATCGTGACTGACAGCCAACAGGTAGCCCAGATTTGGAGATTTGTCATGGGGCCCATGATTGTCGCTCTACAATCCTAACCCGCAGTTGGACACCACACCACAACCATCTGCCCACCACAAGGATTATCCTCCCTCACACTAACATGGCACCTGATAAGGGGGTTTGCTTGAGAAGAAACGGACAGCATCCTCCGCCAGTTGGGATGGATGAACCCTATTGATACAACTGATGCGTTTTGTGTATTTTTGGCCATCCACGGTATGAGGGCGTTTGGGGTTCCATGCGAATCTTCAGGGTCTCAAGACTTTGTGCTCGATGAACGGAATGCAAACCAAAAAGGCCAACAGTTGAAGAAGGTGAACAACCGCTCACGATGCATTCACCAATCAAGCCTAGACTGGTCAAACCCCTCCCGGAAGACTTCCGTGATCAGAAAAAGAGGTTTGATTAAACCGCAAAGCCAAGCACGGAGAACCACTCTGCTGACTTGGCAACCAGGGCTTCAGCATGGGTCCCTTCAAGGGCATAGGCGCGGGGGAACCCACTCGAAGGTGGCTTCGGGATGCCTCTGATTTGTATGATCCTCCGGGCTAGTGCAATTAGCATCATAAGGCCATGTGTCAAAACAACGAGACCCCACACCTGGTGTTACTTTCGGTCTCCCTTTAAGCCAACCTTAAAAAGGGTCCGGGTACGGGATTAAGCCTTCTCCTGTCCAAGAACTTCTGGGAAATATAAAAGTCAAACATCCAGGTGGCTGCCGAAACCAGCGGCTTGATTCCCCACCCTCTCGAGAAACCATCCCTGAAGAGAATGGGGAAGGTACAGCTAGAGTAGTCCCACAAAGATTCAGAAATAGGGCCCAATCATAGCTTGTTGGCTTCCGCTTCAACCAACTTGAAACGGGTACTGAGCCTCAAAACGACAAACCCAACCGAGCAGCGGCCAAAACCCACCGACTTTTGGTTCCCCCTTTCACCACAAAGAAGCCAGGTATTTCGCATCTCTCGACGCGCAACTCTTCGGCCCGTGCCGGTGGCCCGCGATCGTAGAAGTCCTCATACCCGCGCTCGCGGTCCTGAGCGGACTGCATCCAACGCCCCCCCCCCCCCGAAATTTCACAGAAGGGGTGCTCCCTTTGATGTAGTTTTAGCGCTAGTCCTCAGCCCCTCAGCCCTGTGTTGCCAGAAAAAAAACTGTAAAACACAGTGTTGTGCAGCACTTTTCATGTTAGAATCACATCCCCACCCTCACCCGGTCTCCAGAAGGCAACCTGCAAAACCCCCCGCTCCGAGAAACTGAAGAAGACCTCGATGGGCCAATGGGACATCTGGGGGGAGTGTTGGGCCATGTGAAACTAACCTCCCGCGGTGCGACTCCCGTCATTCACTTTACCCCCAGAAAGTTGGTACCACCTACTTTCACAGTTGCAGCCTGGTCTGATTTGGAGAAGCTGGTGGGGGGGGAGCTGCGGGGCTCCTATGTATGTGCCATGGTTATGGAGTTATGGATCATGGCTTCCTTGGGATCCTTCCCATCGGCTCTCTTGCTTTCCTGCCTGGGCTGTTCAAAATGGTGGATGGGCGAATCCGAACCCATGATCCCTATGAGGAAACCCCTAAAGGCATGCCGGGCATCAACCCATGGCTTCAGGTTCGGCTCCAAGATACCACAAGTGTCCGCGGCCCCTATTGCTCTTCCGCATGGAATCTCAACAGGACCGCCATGCTGCCATCTAAGAATCCGCTCCCGCTGGGTTGTAGCTACCTGTTCAATATGACTGTGGGGCAAAAATATGTACCCAAATTGGAATCCTGGTAAATGGAAACATGGACTAAAACCTGCGGTCCCCTGGTGGTTCAATTTTGACCCATACCCATACGGGTGTCAATTGTCAAGGCAAACCAAAAGGCAAACACCCACTTTGAAGGGTTCAAATCCTGCAACAGGATACAGTCTTAGGGTACACGCCTTCGCAAGGCCTGGTATGTTAGCAAAAGCATGGCGTTTGCAGCCTCCACTCAAAAATGAAGAGAACTGAACAGCAAACAACTACACACCTACGATAAACACACATCCACACACCAAGAACAGCGAAGATATCACTTCGTACCCCGTGCACTGTGGCCACTTCGTACCCCGGACTGAGGTGATCACTCCCGGATATGGCGGAGGGACCTCGGCGGACGGCAGATCAGTCTCCGAATCCCCGAGAAACGATTTTTCGTGCTGCCCGGTGGTTCGTGGATCTCTTGAACAAACGTGGGCTTGGCCTGGGTTCAGCTTTAGTGAAGCTTGGCTTGGGACAAGCTTTGGTGAAGCCTGGCGTGGGTTAAGCTTTAGTGCTTCGTTTACTTAAACTCTAAAAACTCGAAGGCGAAGAAACCACATGGCTTTCTTCCCAAAGTTCCCAAAGTTCAACGCCTATATCAAAAGGGGAAGATTTTTCATTGGGGACCCTTTCGTGGACACCATAAATAGTGGGGACTTCTGCAACCAACCACTGAAGGAAGGAGCTCCCCATTGAAATTCATAGCCATGTCCCTTGATTCAATCTGACCAGGCCACCTATGCCAAGGTGTGCGAGAAAAGGATAGAAGCTTGGATTTGGGCGTGGTCCCTTTTTTGGTGGTGCTGCTCTTCTTGGCTTTGGTTTCAAGCAGCACTAAAGGAATCAACCCATTTGCGTTCCGCTTTTTGGAGACACCCCATCTGGAAGCCGCAAGAAGGCTTCTCAAAAGAGGGCCTTGATCACAGCATGAGGTTCCACAAAGCTTCCTATGATTCTATGAGACGTGTTTTACGGCCTGGTGAGGGGGTTTAGTGTATAAGCCCTTCCACGTATGCCTCTTCTTCGCACAATCATGGAAGCCGTCGTTGGGGGTGTTGGAAGACTACCTTTGGGGGGTTGGCCTGCTGTCCGCTTTCATAGTTGTTCCCAAAGGGTGCCACAGCCCGGTTTAATGGGCCTTGTAGCATGGCCTATGTAAACCTTGAAAGGCATCTCGGCAGAACCAAGCCTTGAATCTGGTTGTGGGCGCTGCTCACCCGGGCTTGCTTTTGTTGAGGCTACCCGTTTGCGTTCGAGCCCAACCACAAAAAACACCACTTTTGGCAGGCCCCCCCAGCCCATTTTTCACCGACTGAACCCGCTTGGCTCCCTGCTCTGTCCATTCCGGCATAGGGGTCCTGCCCGGAGGCTGGAAACCACTGGCTTGCCCAGATATTGCCCTCGACGTGGAAGTGTACAGGATCCTTTCCCGAGAGGGGCGTAGCACTCGGGGCTGTCCTCAGATCCTCTGCTAAAAGTTCAACTTGTGGGTGAATTGGAGACCCCCGCTAAACCCTAAAAAGCGCAAAAAGCAAAAACCCAAGGGGCCGGCCAGCTGGGAACCGCCACGCGCTAGGATTCTCGGGAAAGAGGGCGAGTGGTTCTTGAGGCACAAATTCGACCTGACCCAAGGGAGCAGAAGGCTCCTCTGCCTTCAGTCCACTTTGGGGACTGAAGGGGCTCCACTTTTCAGGTCCCCGAAAAGAAGACTCTTCCTGCCAGTGGCTCCGGTCGCACCAACTCAGGTCTTGCTGCATGGTCTTGGAATTTGGAAGCTACCAAGCTCCTTTGTGGCTGGTCGAAGCCTTTGTCGCAAGTCATGGTGATGGGTCCCTACTAGCAACCCTTGTAATAGTGGTTGCTTCAAATCCGACATTATGACCATCCCTGGTAACCTTAAGCAGAAAGGAGTTTCGACCATGGCACAAGCCGCAGGATTTTCTACCGGAAAGTTGGCCAAATACCCAGCAATAAACAAGGAGTTCCTGTAGAGTCCCACTAACTGCTTTCTTTTATACCTGCGGTTGCGGCAAATGAATGGCCCTGTTTGTGACATGAGGCATTCTTATGACAATGTGATTGCAAAAACATGATCCCCAATGGTATCGCGGAGCGTGGCAGCGCAAAAACCGCTTTGCATTTTTTACGATTCCCTTTGCACATCCGATCCGAGAAAGATGGCTTTCCATGCAGTTTGCCTCAGATCCACAAAACCCATCATGTTCCACAAGCACAAGCTTGAGGCTTCTAGTCACTTGGGTACCACAAAGAACTCTCGATTCGCTGGAAATATGGACAATTCTCAAGGAAACATCTGCATGAGCTCGCTGAAACACTCCCTCTGCATCGGCTCACTCCCTCACTCCCGCCTCAAGCCGCGGGTCGCGATCCCGCATCCCGACCTGGGTTTTTTTCTGTAGAGACGTTGAGGTCAGAACATGGACATATGTGGGTAGGTCTGGTTTTAGGGGACCCCCAAACTGGTGGTTTTCTCTTCGGTTTCCCATTAAAGCCAGAAAAAAAGGGGGTCCAAGTGGCGGAATTCACCGTTGTCTTTCAAAAGTTGCCTTGAGGAATTCCAACACAATTGTTCGCAACTTTCGGAGGTCCCCTCGGGGAATTGTGGGAAGGGAACCCCAACATTGGAGGGGGGAAAGTCCTTTAAACTAGTCTCAAAAAGTGGCGCACTCCAAAACAGACGCACCCTAAGGCATGGGCATGTCTGTAAACCTGAAACCTGCGTGGTCGGCTTTGTTTTCTTCACCGTCCGAAGGGGTGGCACCCCACACCCAATTTGAGACATCCCGATTTCGCTGAAAACCAAAAAAAGAAAAAGAAAACAAAAACACACCGCGGCCCAGAAACGCGACCAGTGACTAATAGTGACTAGAGGCATTGACGAGCATTAAGGGCCAAGCGTTAAAATCCCATGGCGCCCTGCAAGTGGCTCTGAAACAATATGTGAGACGCCCCAAAATTGCACAAGTTGCAAATGAGAGGGCAGGGCGACACACGGGGTATGTATAGATGGGTGTGTGTCAAAATAGTACCCTAAACAAATAGTGGCTTTGCTTGTCTGGACCAGCTCATTCTCTACTGTTGACTGATGATTAATAAGCCCTTCGGATCAATAGAGGCAAGCCTTTCCCCCGAAAAGTGATGCGGGCTCCCATTTTGAATGGAATACCTCCTGATCAAACTCAACCAGGGGTTGATGAATCAACTGGGTTCCGCTCTAACAAATGGGCTCTAGGATGCTACATCATTGCCCCTTGGTGCCAGCTGAAGTCCTCGACAACCTCCTTGATGCGTCCCCAAGCATGGTGGTGCCACATAAGCCTTTCTGTGATACCAATGTGGGCCATCTGTTTGACTACTTCGTCACGTTCAAGGAGCTCCCCTTTGATTTCACCGAAAGTGGCAAAAATTGCTTGCACCGGCTGAAATAAGACTTGGAATCGAAAGGACCATCAAGATGGCCCAGGTGGTGCTTTAACTGGCCAACATGCTTGAGCCAGACCCACACTCCTGCAAAAAGTTGACGTGGTGCATGGCAAAATGATGGGAAACCCAAAATGGGTCTGTCTTTTTAGGTTGGTGTCCTTTTGGTTTCCTTGAAAACCACCAAAAAAAAGGGGTATACTGTCAAGCACAGACAAACCAGTTCCAACATAAGCTAAGGCCGGTGAATGGATCCTTGAGGCGACCTAATGGCGGCCACAGGCGCCCGATCCATGTCGCGGGGTGCGGGAGGCCCTGGAGATGGTCGCTGAGACGTGTCTCGCGGGTGCCGGCGGCTATTCAACCAAGGGGGCCAACAACTGAGGGGTGGAAATGAACACCTCCAACAACTGAGGGTGGAAATGGACACCTCCGCAACTGTTACTGGATTTTTGAGGGTGGAAATGAACACCTCCAACAACTGAGGGTGGAAATGGACACCTCCGCAATGTGCGCGGTCCTTCACATTTTGCCACATACACGTTCCAAGAAGACAAGCATTGGGGTGAGGACTCCTTCTGCGTACTTCAACGGCAAACGTCCTTTTAGGGGCCCCCTGCACTGGCATGGTTTGGCCACCCGGGACGTATCCAACGGAATCGGGCCCTCCAAAAGGTGGTATGTTGTCATCTTTTCCGAAACGACCTCATAGGGACACCTCTGGTGGAGTTATTTTTGTTCATCAATTGGTGTCCCTTTGAACACAGCCCCAAGGATATCCTCGCAAGACATTCCGAAATGAACCCAACAGTCGGCCCATCTAGTTTTGACTCGTCTTCACGCTAGAATATCTTCTCCTATCTAGCGATAGGAGGGCGCCAAGGCCCTGGTTGCGAACTCTGCTTTCAAGCTGGCAAAGGAGTCAACCAAGGGAGCCAGAGTTTTGACCACCCAAGAATGCGGGAGTT